GGAAGGGAGGGAGAGATGTGGCAGAGAAAAAGGAGGGAGAGAGGGAGGGAGGGAGGGAGGGAGGGAGCAAGGGAAGAGGGATGGGGAGAGGGAAAAGAGGGAGGGAGTGAGGGAAGAGAGATGGGGGATGGGGAAAGGGAAAAGAGAAGGGGGGAGGGCGTGGTGTGCGCCATTCGTGTGTGGTGCTTGTGGGTGCTCATTGCCATTTGTGGTGGTGGGCGCTCAGCTTGTAGTCGTTGTCATTGTTGTTGTTGTCCATTGTTGTTGTCCATTGTTGTTGTCCGTTGTCATTGTCCATCGTTGTCATTGTCCGTCGTTGTCATTTGTCGCCATTGTGCGGCATTGTCGTCTTTCGTCATTGTTTGGCATCGTCCTCTCTCGTCGTCGTTATGCAGCATCATCGTCTTTCATTGTTGTTCGGCATTGTCGTCCATCCTCGTCGTCATTGGGTCCTGCATTGTTTTGTATGCATGCGGTGTTGTGTCGTTTCATGACATGAGGGTGGCTGCCCGTTGGCTTCCCTTTGGGGGAGTGCTGATGTGGGGTGTGCTCGCTGTCAACTGCCAGTGAGCGGTCGATGGTGGTGGTGTCGTGTTAGTTGGGTGGGTGGTAATAGAGGTGGTGGGGTATACATACCATATACAATATGAAAGGACGACGACAATGTTAGTCGTCGTCATCATCCCGTCACCATTGATCCATCGTGGTCGTAAGCGCTTGTTGTCATATGTTGATGATGGTGGTGGAGGGCGTTCACAGTGGGTGGGCGCTCGTCGCCGTTTCTTGACAGCGATTTGGGCCTTCGTTGACGGGGTGCTCGGCCCTCGTTTCTGTTCGAGGATGGTGGGCAGTGGTCGTGGGCGCTCGCGAAGTAGAGGGTGAGCGCTCATTGTCGGTTGGTGATCGTGGTGGATGGGCGCCACGAGCTGGTGGATGGGCGCTGGTGGCCGGTTGTCGATGTGTGGTGCTGGGCCCTTGTCGCCGTTCATTGTTAGTTGTGGTGGTCGTTGTCGGCGAATGTTGTGGTGGTTGTTGGGTGCAAGATGGAATGTCACAAAGTGTGACGTTTGTGTCCATGCTCAAACGACAAACACACACATTTGTAACTTGTAGTGTCTATCTAATCGAGTAAGGGTGAAGTTTTCGAAACCTTATATATATATGTAAATAGGCAAATGTAGTGTGCCCTTTTTTCTATTACAATAGTTTGTATTGCCTGTTGACTTTTGTAGTGTCCCCTACAAAAGTTGTAGCCTCATATTTGGCTTTGTTTAGAACAAATGCTATTGCCCAATCGTCATCCAAACCCATCCTCTTGCATCCATCCAATGCCTGCATGTTTGTGACGGAGAAATTGATGGGAGATATGCTTAAATATTATAGGGACCCTAATCTATTTTTACTTTGTGTTATATCGAGCAGAGGAAATTAGAAAAGCTGAAAATCTACCAGACATGCTCATTTGAGCATTTATTTACATATATTTACTAATCGCCTTCCAGTCAAAAAATTTTGTAGTGTCTATAACAAAAGTTTGTAGTGTCCATTTTTCTAGACTACAAAAGTTCATAGTGTACGGTTTTTTACAGTTATCGAGGTATCTTTTAAGGCTACAGAAATTGGTAGTGTCTGCTTTTTAAGACTACAAAAATTGGTAGTGTCCGCTTTTTTAGACTACAAAAATTGGTAGTGTCTGCTTTTTAAGACTACAAAAATTGGTAGTGTCCGCTTTTTAAGACTACAAAACTTTGTAGTGTCCGCTTTTTTAGACTACAAAATTTTGTAGTGTCTGCTTTTCAAGACTACAAAACTTTGTAGTGTCCACTTCTTTAGACTACATCCACTTCTTTAGACTACAAAATTTTGTAGTGTAGACTACAAAAGTTTATAGTGTCTGCTTTTCCAGACTACAAATGTTTGTAGTGTCTTGCTTTTCCATTAGCAAAGTTTGTAGTGTCCGATTTTTTAGACTACAATGATATCCTTGACTGTGTAGGTACATGAAAATAAAGAAGTTGACTTTATACAAAAAGCCCTCCATCATTCAGTCTTTGTACCTTGCAGAGAATTATAGTCAAGACTGACTAGGGCTGCTCACTGTGTCCGTCTTAGGCAGATAGACGGGTCCGTCAGACGGGCACTGTCACCATACCGTCTGGGCTTGTTGCAAGTCTCCTGACGTATGGAAGACGTATGGGGAAAGGCTGTCTGTATCCATTGAGTGACGGGTGTTAACGGCGTTGACGGGCGTCACCACATAAGCAGAGTTTGAAATGAGAACTGCACCAAGGCTGCTATCGCCTTCCAACCCCACGTCCCCTGTGAATTTTTTTTCTGAAACCAGCAACCATTTCTTCATGTACGCGTAGCCCCTGTTGGTTTTTGAATTTTCGGATACTTAATTTATTATTATTATCTAATTATCATTAGTTCAAGTTGATCACTAGAAATGAAACTTTTCAGCAAAAGCACTCACCAAGATCGAAAGATCGATCTCATCGTTGGTAGTAGGTAGGTATTGAGTAAATTTCTGCTTTGTATATACTTTGCAATCAGTACTCATCTGTTTATTACATTGTGCTAGTTTCCATCCCATGTGTTGTTTGCTAAGAGACGACACGCGCACAGACAAATGCTGCCCTAGTACACTGCTATAGATAGTAACAATTGTTTTTAATACTTTGCAACATCATTTATTCTATGTATCACTAAAATTTGTCGACGTTGATACAATTGACATCCATCTACATCCATTGACGGCCATTTTATATCAGTCCATCTCCGTTTGCTTCTGCTTGGGTGACCCAGACAGACGGTTGCTGGTCGAACCGCCCCTATTGACACCCGTCAATTAGAAGACCATGTCTGTCAGATGGACAGTGCGCAGCCCTAAGACTGACTATTGAAAGGGTTGCATAGTGGCAAATGAGACAGGATGTCAGAGACTTCAAACTCTTCAGAGAGACCATATACAGAGGGTTAAATATGGTTGGCAGACATGCCTAGATATGACCAGAGAATGGCTGGGGCTGGCAAATGGAAAGATAGGACTTGGATAGGACAGCACTGATGTGAAACATAACTTGGGCATGACATTGAAGGGTTTGCACTCTTTGACATCTCACTGTATGCTATATATCTGATCTTCATGATCAATTTCAGTAGGTAACCCTTAAACTTTTCTAAAGAAAAAAGCAGAGACTACAAAATTTGTAGTCTCAGAAAGCGGAGACTACAAAGTTTTCTAATGGAAAAAGAGGAGACTACAATTTTTTTTGTAGTCTCGCTTGTGTGGAAGCTGTTGGTAAATATATGTAAACAAACTTCGAAATGAGCATCTACAGTTCATTTTTCTGCCTTCCTTAGTGTAATATAACACACTAGAAATATATTATAGTTACCGTAATGTCTAAGCATGCATTCCAGAGATTCCCCCATCAAAAATGAGATGGATGGAGAACAGATGATGATTTGTTATTAGTACAAGTGGTTTTCAACACAGACAAATAAGAGGCTACAGCCGAAAGTCCAGGCATCATGGGCTTTCACATGCGCTTCTCAACGTTATGCCAATGTCACAACATGTGACGTGGTTTCTCTCTTCAACCCACAACGACCACTCCACACGCCAAATACCAACCACGACGCCAACCAGATGCCAACCTCCACCATCAGCAAATATACCAACCACGCCGCCAGCCACCACCATGAACAAATGCCCAGCACCACCGTAGGACGGAAACGAGGGCCCAGCACCCCGTCAATGAACGCCCATCACCAATGGTGACGAGCGCCCATGACCCATCACTGACAAACGGCGAATGGCGACGAGCGCCCACAATGACGACGAGCGCCCACAATGACGACGAGCGCCCACTCCCCTCGCCTAAACGACTGCCAAAGGCCCAAAACAAACAAAGGGGAACGACGCGAGGCCTATGAACGGACGCAGGCGACAACGAGCCGAGGTGAGCAACTCACCTCAGCTTCACCCACTCACATCTGTAACACAGAAGCCCGGTGCCATGTCACCGACAGTGACGTGGCAACCAAACGACAAACGACGAATTGAAATTCGTCGTTTGTCGTACGTTTTGTTCTAGAACACCCCGGTAAGCACCCCCGTCCCACCTTCTTCCCAACCCACCTCGCTGAGAGACAGGACACGGGACGACGACACGACGCGGAATGACGACGCGACCAGCACGTGCGACACCGACGTGACGACAACGCACACCACACGCGGCACCACGACCCATGGATGGCGACGAGGCTCACCACTACCCACCCCTGCCTGCAGCCCAGACACAGCACCGGACAACGTGGAATGCGCCCAGGACACGCAACGCCGACGGGATGACGACACGCGA